TGTTAGTTAGTTATGTGACTTAGAGTAGCGCTAAACATCTTGGCTAAGCATCTTGAGGTGCAGAATAAGATAATTTGAGCCTAAAGATGGATTCATTATGTAGTGAAAACAGATACAAATTGCTGCCTGTTATTAATTGGAATCATGAGTTAGAGCCAGGTGTCATGAATGTTACAAGCTAAGCACTGCGGGGACAGGGTACATTAAGTCAGATCTGCATGCTGACTCTGGTTGTGTGGCACTTCTACTCCCCACACGCAGGTATCATACTGTTCTCCTCTTTGTTCATCTAGACTCAGATCATTCCCAAATGACCTGGCTTCTGTGGAAAGCAAAGCCTGTAGCTTTGGGGGGCACAGGGGCTGTGCTCACTGATATTCACACCGCAGCTGGCAAAACACCTTGTGTTCATTCTTTGCTTCCTGGTTGCGCTTGTGTGTTCGGCAGACACACAGACGTTTCTCTCAAGCCTTGGTGGAGGTACTCCTGGGCTCACACTGTGCTGGAGCAAACTGCTTGGTTGTGAGAGACGTGATTGGCTAAGGTGCTAAAGGACTGTCATTGCAAAGCTGGCATAGGTGCAGTGGCCATGGAAAGCAGTGGTGGGATGGCTCAGTCAGCCAATGCTAATCTGACAAGGAGGGAGGCAGAGAGCCCAAGGTGTTGGTTCAGGAGTAAGTTAGGGAGCCTGTGGCCTAGATCTCCCGGTTGTGCTGGTTGGGGATAGCTAGTGGGGCAGATGTATGTTAGGCAAAGGCAGTGCTTACAGTGAATTTCAGTGAGTTTGAGAGTCAGGATAATTCCATCCCTGTGACTTCAGTGACATGACAATGAAGGTCTGGACAAGCAAACTCTTTCAGGGTTTCTTGTGGGTCAGCATTCCAGTGATTATGATCTTCTACAAAGTCTTCAACAAGTGTGGTCATGGAGAAATCCCAGTAGATCCCGAGGCTACCAATAACTAGCAACACTTCCTTAATAGGGCACTGTCCTGCCAGGGGGCCAGCCTTCACATAATGTTGGCAACAGCCTCACAGAAGACATCTGGGGAGAGAAGAGGAGGTGGCACATGATACCAATGACAGGGACTTAGTCTTGACTCCACCTCACTGTCACCTGGCCTTCCCAGGCTTTCTGTAAGAAATCTGTCCTGTTATTTAAAAACAAAGACAACCAAACAATAACAGTAACACTAGTGGAGACAAAATCCTGGGGAATTAGCTCTTGATCTTTCTTCTGGAACCAAAGGCTTGCTTGCCAGTCTTTGTCTCAAGAAGATACAGGTGCCACCTGTGATCCAGAGTTGCCATTGTTAAGCTTTAGGAAGCCCAGACAGGCTTTATCCCCTAGAAATGCTTCCAGCCTAAGGCCTCTCCCAGGAGGCGACACATTCTGCCCCATCATCTACCATTACCCTGAAGGTTTCCCTTGCCATGAGTCAGTCGACCACAAATTGCTGTGGAGCTCCTTTCCCAGTGTCCCCTTCCTGGTGTGTGGGCAGTGGTACTCAGCCTCCAGTGTGATTGACCAAGGCTGTGGCTGCATGTCCCTCCCTTCATTCTTGCTGGGACAGACAATGCTCTGGGATCCCAAACCTTCCTAAAGAAATGTTAATCTCTGCTGCCTTTCTCCACATGGAGTTGTGACCTTTTCCTGGGGTGCTCAGCAGGTGGATGCATTCATTACTCCACTTACAAGCTTGTTTGGCACAGTGCCAGCCATCCTCAGGCCCCCTGTGTCTGTGGGTTTAACATCTACTGTTATCTCTGCAGAGCTCGGATGATAAGCACAGGAGCACAAAGGCCTCTGGTTCTCTTCCCCTTGGTCTGCTGAGCTTATCCTGATGACCAGGGAAATAACTAGCTGCGAACATCATAGCCATGGTCACAACTTCTGGCGCATCTGATAGTCCCAGTGTTTGAGAGTAGAGCTGATGCACAGCCTGGACTCTTTTAAGAGCTGGCTCTACTCCCCTTTCCCAGCCTGCTTGGACTCAGGTTCAGAGTTGCCATGCCATGGCTTATTAACAGTTGAGTCAAGAGATGTCAATATGAATGGCAATAAATGAACAAGGAGAAACACCAGCGTGCCCTCAAAAGAGACTGGAATCTTAACCAGATCACTAGAGCCTCAGAGACTCTGCAAATCCCTGAGCATAAAGTCAAATCCTGAAAATCAGGCCCCAACTATGGTAGCTGTTTAACATTTATATTGCAGGAGATGAAACAGCCACTGGCAAAGATGCAGTGTCCACCGATGTTCTTTATACCCAGAATGCACTCTGCATTCCAGGAGGCCTCTAGTGCTTCTGGAGGGCAAGTATCCGGCCAGGCTTGAGGGATGTCCTGCTCAGCAGAGAAGAAGAGGCTCTTCATGTTATCCTACTTAGCCAGGTGGCCTGTCTGTATGAACTGGGCAGCCAACTGGGTCTCAGTAACTTATAGATATAGCCTTCATCATCGTGTTCTTAGGACTCATTGTAATTTTATGAGGATAGATAGGATAACTGGTGTAGCTGGTTATGTAATGCCTGCTTAGATCCAGGAAGGGCACTTGGAGGGTGGATGTGCCTGGTAAGTTGGAGAGATACATGAAATGGGGGCATATTGTGTATTTCAGAGACTTAATACAGAAGAAATTCTAGGTATGGTTAACTACCTGATAAAGTGGGGACTCCAGTGGGATGGGACATAGACTATCATGGAAGAGCCTAGTGAGGTATAAGACATATATATATATATATATATGCACGTATGCATATATGTATATATATTTGACACACATACACACATTTGACATATATGAGGATACTTCATACAGAGGAGACCTTGTGAGCTGAGGATGCCTGGTAAAGTGAGAACTTCTGGTAAAGTCAGTCTTCTCAAGCAAATATAAAGAATAAGTGAGAGAGGTGAAAGAGCCATTTCCAGGAATGGAACAGTGACATCTGGAGAAATGAGCTGAATGACATCTGGAGAAATGAGCTAAACAGGTACCATAGCCATCTTAAAGAAGGGAGGATGGAAACCAGCCATTGGAAGAGAGACTTCCTAAGCACTGATGTCATTTCAGGTCTCTCCATCCTGCTCTCTAAGTTTCTGGCAAAGTTAGTTGGAAATATAGAAACCCAAACATCTTCCATGTCCCTAAGCATCATGTCTGTGTCCTACCAGCTGTGTGATCTGCGCCATTTCTCTTGCCACATGTTGCAGCTGAGATGCAAGACATGAAGCACACTGAGTAAACCAGGGCTGCTATTTGGCTTCATAGGACTTGGGGAAAGTACTATGTGCTCTGGGTCTCTGCTTTTCAACAATATTGTTGTGAGAATGATTTCTCATAATACTTGGATAGGCTGGCATGGAAAAGATACTTTTTCCTTGGCAGGGGCAAGAGTGTAAATGCCAGAAGTAGCACTCTGTCACCAGTGGTAAGCCAGGCTGGGGACTTTGCAGGTATGGCTCTGCCTCTCATAACAACTGTGGTGTGGAGTGTGTTAATGTCTTTGAACTTCAGTTTTCATTCTTTTTTACTGTGTTTATGCTAGGACACTGATATGAGATTATGTCCATGTGCCCAAGGATGGGGTTGCCAATGCAGTATTAGTCAATGATGAGAATGACAGTCACGATAATAAGATCCAAGGAAGTATATACTGAAGGAAGGTTGCTCTTCTTTGCAGCAGATACTAACAGGGCCACTGAGGATGACATTCAACCACTTCCCCTATGGACACCACAGCCATGCTGTTCATTGCACTGCTCTACCCACTAAATATACTGATGAGCAACGCAGATCCAATCCATTAGTTCCAACTCTGGATACACTCACTTTTGATCATGGCCAGTATGATGCCGGAGATGGCCTTGGTCTCCTGGCCCAAATATGTAGTAGTTCTTGAGAATCTATAGCAAGGGCAGCAGCCTTGTAAATGAAGGCTCTTCAGTTTGGAAAGAGAAAACTGGGATATGATGGGTAGCTGGGCTAGCATGAGTGGACTAACTTGCCTGCCACAGACTGAAACTATGTCTTTACCAAATCATAAGAGATGGAAGTTTGGGCATCCCTTGACTTTTAAATGCATCACTTCAGGACAAACACCCCTCCCTATTTTATACAATAATGATGCTTAAATCCTGAGATCTTGGTCTAAAAGAGAAAATGATAAAAGCAAGCTATGAGATGGCCTATGAATAATTCTGACAATAACCAGAGCCATGCCATCTAATGTACCTACTTATACCCATCACTGTTCTCTTGACTCCAAGAAGTTTCCAGCAATCCTATGAAGTAAACCCTTTAATCACCCTGTCCCAGCGACACAGCTCAAAGAGTTGCAGACATCTGTCCAAGATCACACACTGCGAAAACAGTATGACTGAATTTGAATCCAGGTTAGGTTGACCCCCAATCCTATACTTTCTATATGGCAAACTCACTCAACTCTCATTGGGGAGTGTTTAGGTATCTTCTATACTTTCTTTCTAGAAATATGCCTTAGACAGTGTTTGGATTATCTTTTTGAGATGAATCCTGTATTTAACTCAGGAAAACAATGCTGGTGATTTTAAAAATATTAAGAGTTCAAGGTGAAGGTGGGCAGTGTTAAGTGGGAGAGACTAAATTTGTTATCATTTTTCCAGGTGGGAGTTCTCACTTGTACTATACACTGAAACCACCAGGCTGAATGTCTGACTATGAATGTCTGACTAGTTAAATCAGTATTTCTGGGGCTTTGATGCCAGGAGGATCCCAAAGACTGGGAGTATTTCAAAGCTGCAGGGAGAATCCAAACAGAGTGCCTGCATCCTTTGATAGTGCTCAAGATGGACATTTAAGTAGTCAGGGTTGCGTGATTCATGATTCTTTCCCCGCAAGACCACCCAACCATAGCTGATGAATGCTGGCTGGCTCTTCCACTAGTTAAACATGAAGTAGATCATCAGAATAGAGCCCAACCATCTCCATTCATCAGAAAGAAAAGTCATAAGCAAACAAGCTAAAAGATAATTTTTGTTAAATAATGAACACTCGTAAAACAGCAATGACATGGTATTAAAACATCTGTGGTTACTTATTTCTCAGCATTCATCTGGCAACTGAAGCAGCATGAAGCAAGAGTTGCACTTAAAAAATGACAAGAAAATAGCCATTCATTTAATCGACAGAGTAAGGCCCATCTCATTTCCAGGATCCCAGTATTGCTGCTCATAACCAAATGAGCGTCCAAGAGTTAAACATCCTGTGTGTCTTCACAGTTCCTTTCCCTCAGGCTCCTGGGGCAAATGCTGGACTTGTTCTTGAGAGAGGCGGGGCCATGGCTGCCTCCTCTTTAAGATTAATGAGGCCCCAGAACTGTGTATTGCTGGGTATCTGCAGGAAGCCTGCAGGAAGCCTGATGCTCCAAGCTGGTGCAGCGTGCTGGGACTGAGCAGGGCCAGGGTAGGCGCTACGCTCCTCCAATTTTGCGTTCTCAGGCAGGACCCGTCTGTAGGCAGAGACAGCACATCTCCCAGCGGGTACTTTCTTTTCCTTTTCAGCCCCACTTGTTTCTGATAAGGAAGCCACAAAGATAGGGGACACAGAGGAGTTAAGCGGGCCACAGCTAGTGGTGACATGTCTCTTGCTTTCTGCCTTTTGCACCATATTCCATAAAAATAAACATATTTTTAACTGTTTGTATATTGCTAATGGGGTGGCGGTCCAGGCACTGGCAGGCTGCAGAGCTGGGTTGTCGTTGACTCATTAGAATCCACCCAGGATTAGCTGCTGGGCTGGAATCTTTGGAGCTTCCGTGTGGAAGAATCAGCATTGCTGGCTGCCAGGCGCTCTGCACAGTGCTGAAAATGAAGTGGAAGGATAACAAAAAGAAGAAGACGAAGTCCAGGAGTGGAGGATTCCAGGGTATCATGGAGTCGTTTGACAATCACTTGTACTGTACAGTATCTCACAGGTGTCTCTTCACTGCCCTCACACACGTGGTCCGGCTCCCCCTCCTTCCAACAGCCTTTGGGAAGCTCACAGGTGGTTGTTCTTGGAGAGGTAGGCGATGAGGGCGACAGCCACACCCACGTATATGCCAGTTCCAATGGTGATGGACAGCACTGCCAGGAACAGGGCCCTCCGGGAGCTGGTGCTAGCCTGATGGAAGTCTCCTTTGGCCACAGCTTTGTTTGTCTGCAGAGTTGGTAGAGAAAAACAAAGGGAGAGTGAACAGGCTGGAAATAACGGTGACGAGAGGGTTCTGCTTGGCTCTTTCTAACATTCAACTTCACTGGATTACAGAGAGGATATACCAACACAGGCAAGGGCATGGGGAACAGCATATTTTCACATAATGACTAGGTGCCAGGTTTAGTCTCTAACTGTTAAAGAAATGTATGGCTGGTGTTTGTCACCGCTCTCCACATGTCAAGGGAGTCAAAGCCTCCAATGTGTCTGGTCTCAAGGAAGTCACATGTTGAAGTATTCCAGTGAAACCACAAATGCGAAGGCAGGGACTCAGGAATGATATGCCAGAGATGGGTGAGGCTCTCTACTGCCATTCTTCCTACTCAAAAATGGTATACTTTTCACTAGGATTACACTTTCTAAAGAACAGTTTTCAAAATCTATAGACCCACAGAAGAGGGAAAAGTAGGGCATAATGTTATTAAGTGCATCCCAGAAGCCCTGAGGTTCCATTCTTCAGATAGCTGGGATTGGTCGCATTCATCTGTTGGTAAAAGCACTCTGTATAAGGTCATCATCTCTGTGCTTGAGCACTTGGTTATATAACAGGGCATTGGTTTAGCTAGATGTAAACTTCTTGGAGTCAAGAGGTAAACAGTGAAGTTGAAATTAGATATTGGCTCAGAATCAGCCTTTTTGGGGCAGATCCTGAAAGCTCTTCTCTCATTCCTCCCTCCTCCTCCTCCCTTTTCACAGTTGAGAGTAAACACACTCTCCGGGGAGGCGAGTTGGGTGTTATAGGAAGGTCTTATCCATCTCTGGAAGAAATTTGAGAAGTATTTTGTTCTCTGATAAGACGTGAAGGACACAGTCCTCCTTCCTGCCTGGGACATGGCTATGGAATCATCTATAGAATGGGTGTTCAGAGGCTGGGGGAAATCGCAAAGGTCATTACAGAAGTCCATGTCAACAATGAGAGACTCCTGACCCAGTTATAGAAGCCTCCTGCTCCACATCTGCTGACTGAGGAACATGAGTCTCTGGGTTCAGATTCTACTGACTGGATGGAACTCTTTGCCATACCACACTGCTCCTTGATTCAGGAAGTGGAGTGCTGTTGGATTAAGTTGTAGCAATGTGAAGGAACTCCCTGAGTCATGTAGCTCATGGGCTAAGACACATGACCCCCTGTTGCTCTTAGTGATGCTTAGGAAGGCTAATCCTGAGAAGCAGAGGTCTCTGGCCAGCAGAAGGGCAGAGCCCACACTTCTGTGGCATTCTCTAACTCATTCTCTTGAGCCATTTCTAAAAGCTGTATTTTTTCCACTGGCTCCACTTTTCATGGTGCATCTGTGATATTTGTGCATTATATGTGGGCACAGGAGGACATACTATTCACTTAACCTAAAAACAATAACGTGTGCCATGAGCCAAACTGGTGAGTGGGGTTTTCATTTTTCAAATCTCCTGATTCTGATTTAGTGAGATTGGAAATCTGTGATGTGTGTATAAGGACTGGCTTCTGCCACTGAACCCTTCTCTGGACACTAACTTCTGAATCTTGAAACCTAGGCTTTACTTTTTTCCTCCATCATTTCTTGCCTTGGCATTGAGCTTGGAAGTTAGCAGTGGACAAGGTTCTGATGAAGCAGAGTTGAGGGAATTTAAAATGAGGAGCCACAGAGGACAGAAGTAATTAATTAATTAAGCTATAATTAGCTGGGTTTCATTTTATATAGCTATGCTCCCAAGCACTCCAGTGCTCTATAACATAATTCACTGTAATTGCCCTTCTTGGCATTAACCCCAAGTAGCCCCGGGACATTAGACAGCAGCATGACTTGCCACTGTCTGTTGTATCCTAGCCTTCACATGGTGTGCCTGGGCTAGGATAGAGGAGGGGAGGCAAAGGAAACCCGGGGAGGTGGGGGAAGCAGAGCTCATTTTAGCTGATCAAGAATCTTCTAGAAGATCTCCTGAGTGCCAGTTCCTTGTCTCATCAGAGTTGAACCTGTGAGTACTTACTATGAACCAGGGTCTGCACTTCCCTTGTCCTCTGTGGTCACTGGGAGCCTAGCATATGCACATAGGTGGCAGTGGTTATGTTGGTGGGCAGTCAATAACTATCAATGGATGACCAAATATGTAAATCCTGAAATATTACCCACCAAAGCCATGCAGGGCTAGCCCTCAGTAACTGATCTTTGTTTTTCCAGGAGTGAAAGCAGGGAGTAGCAACCTGTCCAACTCTATAGATGAACTCCGGCCCAGTACTGAAGGATCTGAGTATAGGGAGCAGAAGCACTCACACCCAAAGTCTCTGTGTCTGAGGACCTAGCTTACTCCTTCCTTCTCCTAGTCCATCTTAGTAGAACTTGCTTTCTATTTGTTGTTGTTGGTGGTGAGTATTCCAACAAATACCAGTGGGTGTGACACGGGGACAGTGAGGTAGAGATGGCCAAAGCATCAATTAGGAAAGGTCTGGCTGTGCTTCAACAAGGCACTGGCATTTGCCATTCCCAGGATCAGAGTTCCTGGGGTTCCAAAGCCACAGGAACAGGTGTCATTACCAATCCTAAAACCTCAGGAAGAGGATTCCACACCAACCCTTCATCTCAGAAAGTGGGTGACTGTGGTTACTGGCCTTCTTCTTGATGCTTTGGGAGGGGACAAACTGAAAGAAATGCCTCCCTCCTGGCCAACGGCATCAGGTTCTATGACAGGTTTATTGCTAGCTTGTCTACAGATGATGGAGGCAAGACAGTGTGCAAGCGTTTTCTTCATAGGGCAGACTGGTCCAGCAAAGTGGATTCTTCAAGTGGCCCAGTTGCTCCTGACCACTGTTTTGGGGAAGGGGAAGGAGTAGATGAGGGACAAGGGACAGATGCAACCAGTGCCTCTCCAGGCAGCAGAGACACAGTTGGGGTGGGGAGGTTGGCTGGAATGAACAGTGCCTGGAATAACTAGATTTGTCTATACTAGGTTCTACACAGGAAACTCCTATGGCAAAAGTGAATGTTTAGACAGCACCCCAAGAAGTTGGTCTCAGGGTACCCTGTGTGTGTTTAAATACTGCTTGCTTGTATGTGGCTTAGTGTGGTCAGCAGCCGTGGCTTCTATACTCTTGAACATTGCACAGGTGGATTTCAGGCCACACATAAAGTCACAGAAAATGGAAGGAGGACCTTAAAAACTGGGCTGGGAAGATGGTTTAGTTTATAAAGGGAAAGGGCTTACTGAGTTAGAGTGAGGACCTGAGCTCAACCCCTAGTTGACTGTGGCAGTGTGTACCTGGAAACTTAGTACAGGGGAGACAGAGACCAGAAGAACCCTGGGATTTGTTGGCTAGCCTGTCGAGCCAAATTGGCAAGCACTAGTTTTAGTGAGAGACCGTCTCAAAAACTAAACAGAAAGTGATTGTGGAAGACTTCTGATGCTGATCTCTGCCACTGTAAGCTTCTGCACATATCAACACATGTACACACACACACACACACACACACACACACACACACACACACACATACACACAGAGAGAGGGGGCATGCCCTGAGAGGGAATAAGCAACTATAAGGCAAATACATACGCATGCACAGGGTTTTAGACAGAGCTGGAAGGGGAAAAACCACTTGAACCATGAGGAGCTGGGCATGCAGAAGCCACTGCATACACTCTGGTTCCTGAGCTAAAGAGCTCTCTTCTTTTTGTCTGGCTGTAAATATACAAGGAAAACATGATCTTAAAATCAGAGAGCAAAAGGAGCCCTTACAACTCAAGAATGAAGAGCAATTCCAGCTGAGACAAAAAAAGGCCGAGACGGAGCTCAGTGTAGTGTGCTTGTCTGGAATGCCTGGCTCCCTGGATTCTGTCCCTCACACCACAGCAAGTAGATGAAATAAAGAAATGAATAAAGAAACAAATGAATAAATAAAATCTTAAATTGAGAATATAAAACATCTAAAAATGGAGAATTCTTGGTGAGGACAATTGTTCATTGGCTAAAAGTGCCGCTTCCTGCTCATGTCTCCTTAGACTAGATTGATGGACACCCAACAAATGAGTCAAAGGAACACACTGTGAAAGAGCTCAAGGCTTTCTGACATGTGATGGCCACTTTGCTCTGAATTTTGAGGTAGGACATGCTGAGTTTGCAGAGAAGTGGTTGTTTCTTCTTGGGTGGCCATTTTCATGGCTTTGACTGACGGACAAGCTCATCCATGGGCAAGGGCTAGGTGATGGTTCAGTCTAAAATAAGCACTGCTTTCTGTGGGGAAGCATGGTGGTTCTCGATCTCTTCCTACAGAGTCTACTAGTAGGTCCAGACATTTCCAGACCTGGAGATCTATAAGGCTGATCTCACCTAGCTTTCATAATGTCTCCCCTTTTTGCTGAAGACCCAGGTCCTTGGATTACCCAGCTGACTTATCTAACATAGCTTCACAGACTGGAGCATTCCCCTTTCTCCTTCTGGTCCCCCATCCCTCCTTTGTTCACTTGCTGGTTTGCTCTTTAATCAGCACTTCAGCTGGAAGCTACATATGAGGTTTAAGGTCATGTCACATGTTCTTATGTTGGCCCCATATTTAAAGTCAGGTCATAGGGCTTTGGGTTGGCTCCATATTTGGATATGCTGAAACAGCTTCAGGATGAAAGAAATTGATGAAAGTCTATGGAGTCAGGGAAAGGATCTCGATATCTACAGAAACTCATGGTCCCAGCGTCTCCACATCCCAAGAGTCCACAGACCCACGCTTGCATTTGAAGTTTCACAGGCGATTCATCCAGAGACCCTGGTTCTCAGCAACATCATGGCAAACTCTCCTTGAGGACACCCAGTCTCCTGCTGAGACAAGACTATATTCTCCACAGTACTGGGCTTTGGTCTTTCTGTGGGCCAGTGACCAACCCTAGGCTGAGGTTTCTCAAGATTGAAATCTTGACAAGCTGTTTTCAAAGTGTTCATTTCCTTTTGCTGGAAACTGCTTTAGTTTGTGGTTTTGGAAAAA